TGAGGCCTTTAGTAGTTCTTTTAAAAAGGACACGCTGTATCTTTTCAGTGGGAAGGCTGTTCCCCAAGGAGCAGCTTGAAGAAGGAAAGGCTGGAAAAGCACCGCTAAACACCAGCCCTTACTTCCTCTGACCACCCCCGCCTCCCCGCTCCTCATGCCCTGGCCCTGGCGTTTCTCGTTAGATGGGGCGGAGTTTTCCACTTTGGGTCTTACTTGTTTAAATTTTTTCATATTCAAATTCTACAGTGACTTCTTTCTTGTAAGACTTAAAAAGGGTTTTCAAATCACATGACTCCATCAGTGAATGCTAGTGTCGGTCTTGCTTTTCAGAAACGTGACCAATAAAAAGAAAGGAAATGCGGCAATTTGTCCTCTTTGCTTAAAAGAGAGAGGTTTACAATGACTGACTTAGGACGTTTTCCTGATCTGAACTTCAGTAACGTTCTCAAATAACACACATAGCTCCCTTCTTGCCGTCCACTGCGAAAAGATTCTTGAAGACTGAAAAATCTCTCTCAAAACTTTTGATGCAAGGTCTTACTTTTACCTGTTTATATGGACCGTTTGGGAATTTTTAATTAGATGCTCTGGGAGCAGGGAAATGAGGTTGTTCATTCCTGGAAACTTTGCCTCTGTTATTTCGTTTAAGCCTTTTTTGCCACACATCTTAAGAGAGATTCTGCATTTGTTTTGCAGTCTTTCAAGATCTTGAAAAACGTGGAACTTCAGAGTATTTCTCACAGGATTAACAAATTCTCTTTTGTTTCCCAAATCTGTGTGTGCTAAATCTCGAACTTTAGTTTCCTGAGATGCCAGCACTAGTGTTTCTTCTGTGAATGGTAACGCCTGAGGGAAGGGTAAACTGGGCTACGGATAGCAGAATTCCTGAGAAAAAGCACATTCATCTTGCTTGTAGACAAAGTGGTAAAATGACATCAGAACAATGAAAGGAATGAAATGAAAACCTCAGACTAACCTTTTGGCGTCTTGAGGCAAAATGGATGAGTGGACCTGCCTGTGTCTTAGTGTCCGTAAAGCCAAGAAGAATGAAGCGAAAGCATCTCTGAGCTTTGCTTGACTGTTAATTTACTGTTTCCCGGGAATCTACTTGTGTTTAAAAGTGTTCAATCTATATGTGTTTACATGTGCTATGTTTCTCTGATGTTTGTCATCGTCCATTAGCTCTTCTCTCTGAGTACCAATCTCCAGGGGTCTATTTAGAAACAGAACAGAATACCAGCTTTAACATGAAACTCTAGTTCTCCAGAAGATATTGCTACAACCACATGGATGAATAATTGATTTTGTATAGATGGTTTTATAAAATGCAGACAAGGTTTTCTCCTGGCCCTTTTGAGAATCTTTTTTGTGGCCTTTGAGGTTGCTGCAAACAGTTCTAGTTCATGAAGAAGGCACCTTTTGAGCAGTCTAAATGTACTCCAGTGAAAATAATTTAATTTTCAATCACGAATTCCATGTCTCATGGTAGACAAGCTGTGGTGATCATTTTAATTTTGAGAGTATAAAACCAAGGAGAGAAAGCTGGAACTAAAGAAATCCCAAGAGTGTTTTTTATGGTTAGATACCATCTAAAGAAAATCAATATTACATTAAGTGGTGTTAAATCTTTTCTGCTCCAGGAAAGCACTTTACTTGTCCACTTAATTAATAGCAGACCCAATAAAACAGTCAATCTCTGGGGAGCTGGTGACCACAAAGACTTAAAGGATTAGCATCTGACTTCGTGTGTTTGGTTTCCCACTCGCCTTGACTTGGTGAATTCAGCAGCATTTTATTACTGCTATGAATACTTATGTACTGGCAATACTTTTATTTAAATTAAAGTGGCTCCACATTTAGGATGCAGGTCTGTCTCCGGGTGGCTCATGATGTGGTGGTCTTTGGCATCCTGGCCCGTCTCATCCTCGTCAGCGTCGGTGGTGCAGATCAGGGGGACAATGCTGTTGTCACTGCCTCCCGCCGTCCGTTTAGCTGCTCGTGGAAATGTGCCGATGGAACACGACCCAGGATGGAAAAGATGCATGTGGAAATGAGGTCGGCATGCTGACTTATGCCATCCTGCGTTTGAACACATTACAGAAGACAAATAGAAAAAAAAACATTAAAATACATATTTAAAGTTATTGTTAAACTCAGGTTTACATTTTTTCTTGAAAATGAGCCACAGCGCAGTACCTGGGTCCTGGCATGTTAGGAAATTTCCTAAACGCAGCACCGAGCTGAATTTTGGCTTCAGGGGCGATGGAGACACATGTGAATCTCTTTTAGTGATTTTTTTTTTCTCACCGGATTTTCTCTTACTCCTTTTGCAACATCAGCAGAAGTGTGAAGGGATCCAGGAGGGCTGGGGAGCCACCTTTGTTGTCTTCCTTTCCCGGGAAAGAGTTCCCGGGAAGAGAACTTGTCATAGGAGAGCCGTTGGCACCCCTTACCCTGGACACTTCTAGGCCTCTGGTTGTTTACAGATTTCTCCGGATGGTCCATTCTCAGTGTCTGCCGTGTGGGAGTCCTTGTACCTGCTGACGGCGGCCTCTTGAGACTCTCAGGACCACTTGATATTTTAGTAAAGAACTGGCCTGACTTGAGCGTAAGAGGTGTAATTCGGGGAAAGAAAACAAAATTTCAGCACCAGGCATGAAGGCATCTCTCAGAGAAGCCACATTCACCTGGTTGAGGAAGCTGTCGAAACATTTATCTGAATCAGCGTCACCTCTTGTGGCCTCGCACAGATCCTGGCTGCACACTGACATCTCTGGACCTGTCTTCCTGTCCCTTTATGCGTCAGAAGCCACTCTGCACATTCATTTGTGATTTAAGCTGTGATCAGCTTACAGGCAGGGTCTGTGTCATCAGCCTGTGCCCTGTCCTGTCCCAGCCTGCACTGCACACCGCGGGACGTGTCACCCTCCTGCAATGACTTCACACAGTGCGTGGATGACTGGACGGTGGGACAGAGGATGAAACTGCGGGCTGCAGGGGCCCTAATGGTTCGGTTCCCGAATTTGGGACCCATGCTCCCTCCAGCTCCTTCCCAATGTCTTACTGGATCCTTCTGTTTCCCTAACTGGCCTCCCTGAGACATTTGAACAAGAACTATGGTTCGTTTGGGCCCACAGCGCCCCCAGTTAAGCTGGGTTCTTTAAGCCCACAGCGCTCTAAGACCGGTTTGCTTTCCCCATTCTCTCTGGCAATCATCACCAGGTATCGGTATTGACAGATTACTATTTGATTGCTGAATTTTTTTTTATTGCTATGGGAACCAGTTACCACAAACATAGGGCTTAAAACAACACAGGTTTATTATCCTACAGTTTTGTAGGTTGCAAGTCAATTTTTGGTCTCACGGGACCAGGACCAGCAGGGCTGAATCCCTTTCCTTTGGCTCTGGGGGTGGGTAACCAGACAGGTGTTGGCAGAATTCAGTTCCATGAGGCCATGGGGCTGTGGATCCTGTGTCCTTCCTGGCTGTCAGCTGGGGCTGGGTCATGCCCTAGAGACCTCTTTCCAGGTCCTTCTCACGCTCCTGTCCCTCCAGTCTTTCACTGTACCCCCCTTCCCCTGTAACCAGGAAAGGTTCTTGGCTTTTAAGGACTCAGTCAGTCCTGTGATCAGGGGGTCCGCCACTACTGCAGGGTAATCTTTCCAACTCGAGAACCATGACCTTAACCCCATCTGCGAATTTTCTTCTGCCGTCTGGGCTAACCTAGTCAAAGGGACCGGGGCCTGGGAACCTGGGGGACACCACGATTCTGCTTCCTGCCCCTGAGGTGCTCAGTGCTTGATAGACAGCATTTCACTTATTTCGATCCTATCAGAAGAAATCAAGTCTTGGAAGAGTTGAGCGAATTGGCTACGTGATCATGAAATGACAGTGTCATCATTTATACTCAAGTCTACTTGGTGCTAAAGCCACCTTGTTCTTCATCCCATGGAGGACCCAGTGAAGGTAGAGCTTGCACCATGTCTTCTGGGAATCTTGAAACAAATCTCTTTTTTTCCTTTGTTTTTAATTAAAGTACTGTCAGTTACAATATGTCAGTTTCTGGTGTACAGCACAATATACACGCATACATTCATTTTCAAATTTTTTTTAATATTAGAGAGTAATACAAGGTAGTGGGGAGTTTGGTATGTTCTAAATTAATAACCAGGCTATAAGAACAGAAAATACTTACTGGCATATTTACTGGTTTTCCAAGACTTCAGTTTCAGAAGTGTCCGTCTCACAGGTGAACGTGAAGCTGTCCCTTGATGGGAGACTACGAATGACCATGAAGAAATGATTATTTAATTCCTGAAGTGATTTTAATTTCTAAAATATTACTTCACTAAAGAAAATGCTTATATTTTCATACGCTTATAGCTCTGATGGAGTCTTTTTTTTCATCAAGAACACACTTTGAGGGTTGCAGTGTAAACACAGGGTAACATGTGTGCACTTTGATCACTCCTCACTGTTTATCGTAACAAACACACAAATGCCCCCAAACTCCCGTAATGATGCACATCTCGGCTTTCCACTCATAACTGTGTGTCTCTATTGCAGGCAACCATTTTACATCCCACTTACTTGTTTACCTTCCTTAAAATGTTTCAACTGTTAATAGTTACAGAAGTTTTTCTTTTTACATTTTACTTTATTTCTATATTTTGGGGGGAGGGTAATTAGGTATTATTGGTTTATCGAATACGGGGGTACCAGGGATTGAACCCAGGACCTCGTGCATGCTGAGCACCCACCCTACCACTGAGCTACACCCTCCCCCCAATGTTTTTCTTAATCACATCATTTTTGCTGCAATCTCCCCAAGGTTCTTGCCTTGCAGACGTCTGGGTGCAGCTGGGAACGGGTGTGTGGTGGAGTATTGGCCCGTCAGCCCCCGAAGCGCAGGCCGGAGGCTTGTTCCCTGAGCTTGGTCTTCCCAGTTCGGCCCTTGTGGCTGCCTTGTTCACTCGGCACCGTCTCCTCTTCACTGCAGAATCTCGATGCCCTGCATGACCACCTGGCCACCATCTACCCGGGGATGCGGGCGCCTTCCTTCAGGTGCACCGATGCAGAAAAGGGCAAAGGGCTCATTCTGCACTACTACTCAGAGAGAGAGGGGCTCCAGGACATCGTCATCGGGATCATCAAGACGGTCGCCCAGCAGATACATGGCACTGAAATAGACATGAAGGTAACTGTCTGTCTCGGGGACGCCTGAGCCCAGACCCCCTGCGGAGGGTTAAGGATGCTCAGCGAGTCTACTTCAGCTGTCAGTGCTGCTGCTGGACCTCAGCAGAGGTCCACATAAGCCGTGACGGCAGCAACATCCGCAGGCTTCTATAGTTGGCCCTGAAATGCAACATACAAGATTTTTTTCCTGGTGGGAGCAGATTTTGCTTTCTAATTATACATTGCTCAAGGCACTGTGAAATTTGGTTTGCACTCCCTGTGCGCACACACTCGCTGGGAAGCAGTGGCCCTCAGAATACAGGAAAACCCGTGACATGGCACATGCTAAAATAATGTGATCCGAGGTTTTATCTTACTGTTCATTGTTTCCTTCTGGATTTTTTTTTTTGTCCGTCCCTGAAATGTAGATAGAGTATCTCATTTTATGAGCTAAAAGTTTTGCTTTTTTTAAAAAAAAATTAGATTGCTTGGTAAAAGAAGCCAAGTCTCATACTTGAAAAAAATGTTAGTTTTGAGTGATTATTTCAAGGTATTGATAACACAGCTGTGCCATAGAGAACTCTCGTTTTTCCGTATTTCTGACCCACATGGCCTCTCCCCTGAGCTGCTGTTTGTGTGCTCAGGGTATCAGCCCCCCAGAGCCGTTCTCAGTGGCCCTAAGTTTAAGAAAAGTGGGCAGAGGGATGCCCTATTTCAGTTTTCTTTCCTTATGAGAAAACTAGTGCAGTGCTTTTTTAGATGCCATAGTTACATTCTAACACGTATGGGAAGCCCAAACTGGAAGTACAGTTTTATAGAAATAAAAACTGTAACATTTAAATTGATTCTGTTACAAAAGTATCCCATGTATTTAGTCTAGTCGGTCACATTAGATTTGACGTTTTTGTTTTCTTTCAGGAGTTGGTGTCCGTTCTTCCTTGACCCCCAGGCGCATCCTTAGTTTTCCTGTGTAATATGACATTGTCAAATCCAGAGACATTTAAAAATTAAAACTTGGGTAAAGGATTGAAATTCTCCCATGGTTAGGAGCCTCACTGGATTTCAGTTACAATGATGTGTGCTTTTCACTTCCAGTTTTTCACCCTGACACCCAGCTGACACCACACGTTTAGTGGGGAGCCTGTGTCCAGGGGTCTGTGCATCCTGGCTCGACTCCTGGTCTGCTCTTTCCTTAGCCAAGCCGAGCAGGACGCAGGTGCATAGACACTTCGGGAAAGAAGCATAAATGAGGGCTCCCTTGGAAGCTGCAGTTGCCGTGGTTACCAGAGCTTTGGTGTGGAAGGTTGATGGCAGTAGCATGGGCTGTGGAAAATGCAAGTTTTTACCTAATTGTGTAGTTCCCTTTATATAATTTGGGTTGTCTCGTGGACTTCACTTATCCAGCTAGGCCAGTAGAGACTTCTAAAATACTTGCATTTGGCAATTATACTTTGTTTTCATTTGTTTTTCAAAGGCCCTATTTTAATTTCCTGAGGAATCCTTATGTTGAAGCCATAAGTTTAATAGGTCCAGAGCTACCAGACAATTTAACTGCACAAGAAATATCAGACCATGTCAGGCAGTGATTTATGGAGAAGTTATAAAAATATGATCAGAAAAGCTGTTCGTTCTGCTAATTTAACCAAAGCAGAAGAGCAGAATTGCGGAATTAACTAGTCAATTTAGGTTGCATATAATTCTGTTCCTCTAGCTGAAATGGAAGCACAGCAGAATGTCAGACTTCCAGGATGGATTCTGGTTTGATTTGTTCATGAGACTAGGGGAAATCATTCTTCATGAGGCAAAATTTTCACATCATAAATAAGAATACTAATCTTTAACCAGTTTAGTAGATGAATGTGACAGTTTTAGTAGTAAGATTCTGATTTCACCATGAAACTGTATCTGGGAGAATCTATACAATAGTGGTATTAATTGCAATTTGTTCTTCAGCGTCAGAGAACGCTGCAGTGAACTCCTGAACAAAAATGAAAAAGAGGAACATTTTGTCATTTAGCTGTAACTGAAGAAATATTGTCCCCACTGTTTCGTATTTTGATCTGACTGTAGTTGAAATACAGGTTTTCCCTTTGTAAGAGGACGTGTTGGTTGCATTTCTTAAATTCAGAAGAAAAAAATCTTTTTTATACCTTAATAACGCATTTGCCTGTGAATATTATCTTTGAAACGTAGTTATTTCTTTCAGTTATAGAACTTCACTCACAATTATGATTACTTCCATAGAATGAATTCCCAGATTTGGAATTAAATCCGAGAATATAATTTGGAAGGGGCGGTTGTGCATTCTGTCACTCTGTCCTTCAGAAAGGTTCATTCATCAGAATGCCCTCCCGTTAGCAGTATGTGAAGGGACTCTTCCTGTGTCCTACCCAGTTTGGTGCTGTAATTTTATATACTTGCCAAGTGATGGGTAAAAAATGACATTGCATATATTTTAAAATTTGCATTTCCACCATTTCATTTCCCTCTGTCGGTACTTGTCAGGTTTGATCATGTTAAAGAGTCCCACTTTGTACCATGTAGTTCGCTCAATGAGTGTGGGCTGGGGGGCGCCGAGCCCACCGGGGCAAGGGGGTGCTTGTCTCCAAAGTCTACCAAAGAGGCTGCACGGACGACTAGTGAACTCGGACCAGATTTGCAATTTTATTGCAGTTTATTATTCAGTCTTCAAATTTCATAGATCAGTGTCCAGAAATAGCTTCCAATTTTAAGCTTGCATAGTATTTGCATATATTAAAAATTTGAAGTTAACTTTCTAAAAATGCAGTTCTCCTAACCAATTTCTTAGGTATTTAAGTGTTTTAACTAAGTGGAAGTCCAGACATTTAACGTCATTTCCCCCTTTGGCATCAGGTTATTCAGCAAAGAAATGAAGACTGTGATCACACTCAATTTTTAATTGAAGAAAAGGAATCCAAAGAAGAGGATTTTTATGAAGATCTTGACAGATTTGAGGAGAATGGCACCCAGGAGTCACGCATCAGCCCATTCACCTTCTGCAAAGCTTTCCCTTTTCACATCATATTTGACCGGAACCTGGTGGTCACCCAGTGTGGCAACGCCATATACCGCGTGCTCCCGCAGGTAGCCCCTCACTCGTCTAGCCCCTCGGTTACACGCCAGGCCGTGTGGCGCACACTGGGCAGCACACAAGTTGTGTAATGGAAGCTGAGTGCACTTGTGCCCTAAGAGAGCTGCTCTTTTCCTGTTTTAATCCCAAGGACAGTGGGAAAATTATGTGGGAACTGTATACTTGTTTTAGTGAGAAAGTGAGTGACTTTATGGTAGCAGTCAGCTTTCACTAAATTTATTCACCATTGAGCAAATAGTCATTGGACATCTACTATATGAATATAGCTTTCAAAGCCAACTAATGCCATTTGCAAGGAAAAGAAAGGAGTGTAAAATACACTGAAGAGGAAAGGGGAAGAGATTACCATGAAGTTTAGTAGAAAACGCATCAACGGACAGCAGCGGGTGATGCTGAGTGCACATTTGGCTTGGATCATTCAGACCCATTTGCAAGCTCCTTTCTTCCCACTTCCTCTTTTCTCTCACCTTCTAACGTTATGTCTAGAGATACTTTTTGCTTGTAATTAAGGAGACGTAATAGTTCAGGATTAACTCCAATGGAATCTGACATAAACCTGTAAGTCTGGAAGCAGAATAGTGTGTGGGTGGGGCTCTGTCCCCCAGGCATGACCCAAACGTGTTTCTTCCCTCTCTTTGCCTGTTTTCCCTTTGTTTTGAATATTTTTGGTTTTGGAAGGGGTAATTAAATTTGTTTGTTTGTTTAGGTATGTGTGTGTGTATGAATGTACTATGTATGTACATGGAGGTACTGGGGGTCCAACCCAGGACCTCCTACATGCTAAGCACGTGCTCTACCACAGAGCTCTGCCCTCCCCCCGCTTTTCCCTTTGCTGTGACGTGAGGAGAGAGGGTGCACGAAGGACATTTAGTCCAGCGCCTGGTCCCGTGAGCAGTTGTTAAGTGTTCTGTTACTGTTGATCAGCCATCTCTTGATAAACTGAGTGTTTCTGGGGGTTTGTGGTATTTAAGTTTCATGTTAAGCCATACACGTTTAACACTTCATGCTGTATTTTGAAAGTCATATTCCCTTCTTTTTTCTTTAAAAAGTCTTTTCTTATTTAGATTAGCTTATATTTGAATATTAGTTGTCTGAAGCCATATTCGGTTTTATGTGTTTTGTTTTTTTAGTTTAGTATATTCATTTTTTTTTATTGGAGTATAGTTAGTTTACAATGCACTGTCAATTTCTGGTATACAGGGTAATGTCTCAGTCATACATAGACATACATATATTTGTTTTCATATTCTTTTTCATTATCACTTACTGTAAGATATTGAATATAGTTCCCTGTGTTCTACAGTAGAAACTTGTTGTTTATGTATTTTGTATATAGTATTGTGTGTCTGCAAATCTCAAACTCCCAATTTATCCTCCACCACCACTCCCTTCCCCGTTCCAGCAACCATGTGTTTATTCTCTATGTCTGTGAGTCTGTTTCTGTTTTGTAAATAAGTTCATTTGTGTCATTTTTTTTTTAGATTCCACGTACAGGTGACAACATATAGTATTTCTCTTTTTCTGTCTGATTTTTTGTTCACACAACCACACGATGTTCGTTTAGTCACTGAGTTGCATAAGTGCAGGTGTGAGTTCATAGTGGAGATAATTTTTCTGCAAATAATTGTGATTTTCTACATTTAAGTATTATTGAGCTGGTTTAATCTAATAATTAATGCCAAATTCCAAGAATTCTTCTGACTCAAAAGTGTCTTTTTCTTTTCATCTGCACCTTAGCTCCAGCCGGGGACCTGCAGCCTCCTGTCTGTCTTCTCCCTGGTCCGCCCTCACATTGACACCAGTTTCCATGGCATCCTGTCACACATTAACACGGTCTTCGTCTTGAGAAGCAAGGTAATCAAGATCTTATTTCTCTAAACGTGGAAAGTAAGGTATGTCACAGATTAGACGTGTTCCAGAGGGGTAGTTAGTAACATTCTGTGAGATGGTAAGGCAGGGAGATCAGAGCCAGCCCTGAAGGACCCTATTTCAAGGGCAACCTTATTGATTTGGGGTTGCCTGAGGGGCCATGGAGCTCAGTCAGCTGATTAGAATTAACAAAAGTAAATTTTGAGAACATCTTGCCAGAACAGCCCAGTTGCACATATGAAAACCAACCTCTTTTACTCCTGGTACAGCCACAGTGTCCTATTTTAGAAATCAGAACTAATAAAGATTTTTTTTTAACTTTACTCAAAGCCACTGGTTTATTGTTCCCTAAATTGTCTGTTATTCTTTCTACCACTTTGAGGGGGGAGGGAATAAAAGTGGTAACATTTTCATTCAGTTGATAATGTAGGTAGCACCCAGATCTCATAGTTTCTGTTCTTGATACTGATACAGCAGAAGTGCCCCCGAGGATGCATTTCATCCTTCCTCCTGCCTCCCAGAGTCATACCCACACGCTTCACGCATTTGGAACTAACTGCTTCCAGCTGCTCTGTGAATGCGGGGGTGGGGAGTGGAGAGGCTTGGTCGGGTCTTTGCTGGAGCCTGCCTGGGATTAGGTGCTGGAGCCAGACTGGAAAATCAGAAGTAAGATTCCTAGATGCTTTAAATAAAAATGTGAATGTAGGCATCTGGGATTAGCAGATACACACTACTGTATATAAAATAGATGAACAACAAGGTCCTCCTGTACAGCACAGGGAACTATATTCAATATTTTTATAGTAACATATAATGGAAAATAATCAAAAAAAGATAATACATGTGTAACTAAATCACTTTGCAGTACACCCAAAACTAACACAACCCTGTGAATCGACTAGACTTCAATTAAAAAAATTATAAAACATGTATTGAAGGACACTTGGCTTGCAGTTTCCTGTTAGTTTCAGGTGTGCAGCATAGTGACTCGGTAACTTTGAGATTCCACGCTGTATGGATGATCCCTGTCTTTGATCTCTGTGCCGAGCAGTTTTGTTTTTTAATTTTTAATTTTTTTTAACATTTTTTATTGAGTTATAGTCATTTTACAATGTTGTGTCAAATTCCAGTGTAGAGCACAAGTTTTCAGTTATACATGAACATACATATAGTCATTGTCACATTCTTTTTTTGCTATGAGCTGCCACAAGATCTTGTATATATTTCCCTGTTCTGTACAGTGTAATCTTGTTTACCTATTCTGCATATGCCTGTCAGTATCTACAGATTTGGAAATCCCAGTCTGTCCCTTCCCACCCCTTGCCCCAAAGAAAGCTTTTGTATTGTTAAAGAACTGCTTCTCAATAAATCGGTCTTGAATTCATTATTTGGTATTTCTGGTTGATGTTACCAGTATTGTAGCTTTCAAATGATGGAGCTGGATTTCTGGAGTAAAAGTGCCCAGGTCCAAACCCTGGCTCTTCCATTTTCTCTAAAAACAAGTGTGAAAGTAGCTCTTCTGGGTTCAGAGGAGGAGGTCAGCTGGCCTTTCTCAGTGACATGAGGGTGCCTGCTGCCTGGCGGAACGCTGGTGGCCTGCCTTTCCTGGTCTAACTGGTGCCCTGGGTTTGGTGGGAAGCGGGGTCGGCATGTCCTTCTTTGCTGACCTGTCAGGTGGGGAGAAGGGCAGGAGTTAATGACTGTGTCTTGCCCTTTCAAGGAAGGATTGCTGGATGTAGAGAAATTAGAGTGTGAGGATGAGCTGACCGGCACCGAGATCAGCTGCTTACGTCTCAAGGGTCAGATGATCTACCTGCCTGAAGCGGACAGCATTCTCTTCCTGTGTTCACCAAGGTAATCCTTTTTAGATTAATTATAATGGCTGCCAGTACCCACCGTTAGCTGACAAAGGAATTCGGTGACATTTTATTCAGTCGGGTGCACAAAGCGTAACTAGATTTTACAGCTCTGTTAAACTTCTCTCCATAATGAGGATACTTTCATTTAACGTTTGTGATAAACTCTGAAGAAATCGTGAATTCTGTTTTATCTGCCATGTCTTAGCAATATGCTGAGTGTTTATGCTATTAGATCAGGGGATACCTGATCTGAAGTTAGTTAATTCTGTGGCTCCGTACCTCCCAGAGAGATGTCACGTAGACAAGTGATTCTATAAAGGATCTCCTACGATAGGTGAATATGTGGGTGTATTTGGCACCCAAGAGATTGCTTTTCTAATTATTTCTGGATTTAAACTTTTATATTAAAAATATTTAGCTACTTTAACAGAGATACACTATGCAAAATACACTATTAAGTTAAAATTTATTTAAATTATATTATTTATGATAAACTCCAGAGGGAAATAAAACTGTAAGTTGGTAGTTTCCCAATTTGACAAAGCATTTTATTGAAAGATGTGTAAGAATTCAGAATTAGAAACCTGTATCGAAATTTGCTTTAGGACAGCAGCAATACATAATTGTAAAACTCGGTGTTTGGTGATATTTTGTGTATTTATTACTTTGTATAACCAAAATCTAGGCACATTGTTCAGTAAACACTCGAGAAAGCATGTTTTGGTGGGCTAGTGATTAAAAATTTAAAGTCCAAATGATCACTTTTTATTTGAAGATACTGTCTTAAAATTTCTGAAAAGTCTAATAAATTTTAAAGCAACCTTCTTTAAAATTATAAATATAGTACTAATGATGGGTTTTTTTCCCCCCTGAGAATATATATAATGGAAATAAAAGAGACAAAATTAGGGGATCCAAACTCTTTATGGTTTTTAAGCAGTAACCTACGTGGCTCTCACTACATCTTCATCTGCTGTGTTTTTTCCTTCTGCCTCTTTGTTAGTTGAGCATCAGTAGAATGACAGCTTCTCAACAGGGACATTTTCTGTTCATGGAGAAAAAAGATTTCTTTAGAAACATAAGCAGGGAATCTGGAGTCTGTCTGCTAATCACCACATGCAGAAATCGATTTCATAGAGACACACTCACAGCTTGATACATGCATGGGGCCTGCTCATGTGTATAGAAAATTTATACTCAAATTAAATAAGACAGCAGCTAAAAGCAGTTTTACTTATAAAATAAATAATTCCAAGGTGATAGTTTAAATATAGGAGAAAAGTTAATAGCTCATTAAAATAATAAATAATACATAAATTTTGAGAACAATGAGACTTATAATTTGATTAAGTTTTCTGTCTCCATATGAGCATATTTAACCATTCATTTTCATTTTAAGCTCATAATCATTTTTCCTCTGCTGCTGTCAGGTCTTGTGTACCATTTGGTGGGTGATCTGGACTCTTTCCCGAGGGGTGTGTGTCAATTATAAACTCTTGGCTCATTTTATTTTTCTTCATTGGCATGCTAATTTTTGCCTTGATTTATGCACATTCTTGCTGAGAATGCATCACACGGAGACATTTTATTAATCCAAAATTCTCAAGTAAAGTCACAACTCCATTATGTTGCTTTAGAGAAATGATTATTGCTAATGACCAGACGTAATGACTTTGCATTTAACAAATTCAAGCCAGTCATGTAACCGGAAGCCATTTTAGCCAAAGAATACATTTTTAGAAAGCAGTCAACTTTTCACTCGCCAGATCTTCACTGAATCAATAAATACCGTGTTCTAAAAATGACATAAGTTGCAAAAACACATACAATTCAGCCAGAACAAATAATCTTTCCAATAAATGAGAAAAATTAGTCAAAAAAAATAAATAAAGAGAGCAGCAGAAGACATCAGAGTCCGAAATGAGAAACACAGAAAAATACACGTTAGGAAGTCCTATGTAACGTCCCGTGGGAGACGGGCCACAGATCGCAACGTTTTAATCACTGTCTGAAGGAGAAAAGAGTCACAGAACCCATGAGGCAACAGTGAACGAGTTTCTCAAAACAAACTTGTTATCGTCCCTATTAAAGAGAGTAAAGATGGCTTTTCCTCCATCTCTCTGTAATGAGGGGAAAATGTGGCAACAGCAAATGACAGCCTTGTGTTAAAACCTGAGCAGATTCCACAGGGCAGTTTTTCACAGTATCTTTTGTTTTCTTTTTTCTTTTTGATTGAAGTAGTCAGCTTACAGTCAGTTTCTCACAGCATCTTTCAGTTTCGGCTGAGGGCATCAGAAAGTGCAGCTTGGCCAGGGTGCAGGTCAAGTTCACTGCTCTCTTTAGACATTCAAAAGAAGGGAGTCGCATTCCTGCTGCTTCCCTCCAGTGTCTGGCTCCCTTTCAGCCCCGCCCTTTGACGGGTGGGGGACAGGGGTAGGCTCCATGGCAGGCAGGAGTCGGTGCTGCCCGGGGACACCAAGGACTGACTCTGCCTGCTTCTCCGTGGACAGCGTGATGAACCTGGACGACCTGACGCGGAGGGGGCTGTACCTGAGCGACATCCCCCTGCACGACGCCACGCGCGACCTCGTGCTGCTGGGGGAGCAGTTCCGAGAGGAGTACAAGCTGACCCAGGAACTGGAGATCCTCACAGACAGGCTGCAGCTCACCTTGCGGGCCCTGGAGGACGAGAAGAAGAAGACAGACACGTAAGAATGTCCCCTCGCGGGGAGGAAGTGCGTGGCTCTTACCCCCGTAGCCGCCGGCTCTGCTGCTGGCGAGCGCAGGGTCAGACTCCTAACCCTGTGTGTCTGGGCAGCAGGGGTCTCTTCCACATCACTTAACAGGGACTTTGTCCACAGGGATAAGCCAGTCTCAGTGATGAAGGGGCAAGGCTTCTAGTGTGACAAACCAAGTGGAAAGAACACACACCAGAGCATCCCTCTGAAAGCCACTGGGACAGTTCAGATGCACAGATCAAGTCCAGCTCTCTGTGCACTCGCGTCTCACACGAGCAGGGTGTCCTGAGCATCCTCTTTGTGCCCGGGGCTGGCCAGTGCTGAGGGGGGGGCCACTGAACGCGGAGCTTAGTTCAGATTGGCCGTTATATTATAAAAGATTGATTTTCCTGGACTTGCAGGCCATTTTAGGGTTTGGCAGATGTGAATCTGACAGGCTGTAATGTCACCTGTGATGACAACAACTCCATTTATAATGTGATAAAAGAGCAAAAGTACTAAGATACAGAGCTATTGTTTGTCTCTGAATGGTGGAGTCAATTGTGAAATATCGGGCAAGGAACATTTAAGACAACATTTTATTTTCAAGTAACTCATTTAAACAAGTACACATCCTTGGCCTCCTTGAGTATATTAATTAAAAGCACTGAATCTCTGACTTTGATGGGAGGATCTTACCCAGGGCCTTGTGTGTTCATTTCTAACATTTCTGTAATAGGAAGTCGCCTTGTTGGCGAGGTGAGCTGATGTCTCTTCCTGTAAGAACTGTGTCGCAGCTTGAACACCAGAACTTCGGGACCAGCTTCGTTTGCTGCGCTGTTCTTACTTAGATACGTGTGTTGCTGCCCCTGGGTGGGGGAACATACACCTGTCAGCTGTTATCGGGAGCCTGGATGAAACCTGACCTGGCTTGCCCTGCCTTTGTATAATGCAGCTGGAATCTGTGGTTACTTTGAGGCCACTTGACTTTTTCTCATGACCTGAACCGAACCCCTTCATCTTTCCACGTGTTTTGCAAATTTCCAAAAGGATATGGGATGGGGGCGGGCAACTCACATTCCTCCTACTTGTGAAAAACAACACAAAATGTGTATTATGTTAGTACGTGGTATAGCTCCATCCGTGAAGAATAACACATATTATGGAGCTCATCAGGTAGTGTGACTAAGGCTCACAGGCACATGGATTTGGAAGGCTGAGTTACTCAGTAACCTGCTCGGGCTGTTATATTAAAAACCACCTCGGTTTCATTTTTTGTTGGTATTTGGTCTTCAAGGTCTTCTAAACACTGACTCATCATTTTTGTTGAAACGGAATTGTTCTACTGCCCACATTTAATATTCAAATACAGCTCCCAAGTCTTTCATAAAATGTTCTCTGTTTGAAAGTTAGAAATGGACTGGAGACAAGCCACTGAAGCTAGGAACCACAGGCGTTCAGCTCCGTTGGGCATATTGAAAACCGGCACTGGATGCTTGGGCTCAGGGAGGGAGGGGCTGCGGGGAGGGAGGGGGCGCAGGGTGGGAGGGGACTGGGGGGAGGGGGCGCAGTGAGGGAGAGGTTGTGGGAGGGAGGGGGCTCGAGGAGGGAGAGGTGCGGAGAAGGGAAGAGGTGCAGGGAGGGAGGGGCCCTGGGGTGTCATTTGTCCCTAGGGGTCATCTGGTCCGGGGTCGTCTGGTCTGAAGCCCGTGGTTTCTGTCCAGCGCCCACCCTCGCCCTGCGGTGCCGCCTCTCTGGTCCCCTCGGCACAGCCCTGGTGCCGTCGGCCTGGTCCCGGGTTGTCAGTGGAAACGGCTGTCTGGTCTAGGCCGTCTGCACCTGCCTTCTCCGTGTCCTGCCTGGGGTTGAGGCACGAGGGACCCAGGGGGTGGGGAGGGGACCTGCGTCTTGTTCGTGTCGGATGAAGGACACGCGAAGGATCCTGGCCCCAGAGAGGCCGCGCGCTCCGGCCGGTGGTTCACGCAGCCCACGTGGGGCTGTGCGGACAGAGACGCTCCCGCCCGCGCGGGTCGCGGTGGGAGGGCCCAAGTCCGGGACCGCAGACGCAGCTTTGACTTCTGCTGTCCGTCCTTTATCTCGTCTCGCGGCTTGTTGGCTTCCTCTGATTCGGCTTGAATGCGTTTGGATTTGGGGCCGTTTCCTGTGATTCAAACCGAGTATTCTTTTTCACATTTTCTGTCCCCGACTCACACATGTGGCTGCTCGGGCGTCCTCGGGGCGCAGGGCGTGGCCGGCCCTCGGCCCCCTCACGGCCTGTCCTGCCCCCGACAGGCTGCTGTACTCCGTCCTGCCTCCGTCCGTGGCCAACGAGCTGCGACACAAGCGCCCCGTGCCTGCCAAGAGGTACGACAACGTGACCATCCTCTTCAGCGGCATCGTGGGCTTCAACGCCTTCTGCAGCAAGCACGCGTCCGGGGAAGGCGCCATGAAGATCGTCAACCTTCTCAACGACCTCTACACCCGCTTCGACACCCTGACGGATTCCCGGAAAAACCCCTTCGTTTACAAGGCAAGTGAGGTCCCCGCCCGCCCTCCGCGCGCCCTTCTGGATTCTGGGTTTTCAGGCCCGGCTCCCAGGCGCTGCCCGGAGCCCCGCAGTCTCGCTGCAGTCATCTCGCAGGCCATGGCTATTTACCATTTTCTTAAATAATTACCTCTTGTTCTAAAACACTCCCTTCCTCGTAACCAAGACGGATGGCGCAGACGCTTCCCTGGTTAAAATAAAATGTTCAGCAGCTTACGTGCAATGACACGAGTAAATCCGTGCAGGTGGTTTATCCCACGTAACATAAACATAGCACTGGCTTCGGTGCTCTGCGAAAGACGTTTTTACTGAAATCTATAAATGATTTGGACGGTAAAGAAGTTGGGGAGCCTGAGGAAGGTCCCGGGGACTCAGACCTGCTTTCATGTAGCATCAGCTTGAAGACAAACAGTTCTAAGGCCTCTCTGCCCTTTGTTTCAATTAGAAACAAATATAATCTTGGAAAAATGAAGTCAGTGGAATATAGCCTCATAAAGGCAATAGGGCACGCTGCAACACCCCCAGGCATCTGGAAGCATGTGAGCGCCACGGGGCGTATTTATTTCATAGACCTCTTCTGAGCTCCAGTGTCACATTTGGTGAGCACATCATATAAATAAACGGCTAATGACCAGGATAAATCACTGAACTTCAGGCAGTGGCTCTTGGACCCTTCAAACCATCCCTGTTTTAAGGGGAAATAGGGTCATAAATTGTTCTACTGGATTGGAAGGGTATCTGAGGTGAGAAACCAGGGCTTCCTGGAGGAGAAGTAATGCTGTGTCTGCATCTGCCTGTAATCAAGGATCTCGAGTGCCAGGTGTGAAATTTCAAATAAGGACGAGGTTGCTTCCTGTTGGAGCTGAATTATCAGATTCACGGGAGGGGAGTTTATAAAGTTATGGATAGCATTGGAAAGATGCTCTGTGTTTCAGGATAGCAAATGAAGCCGTCCTGTTGATAACTAACTGATGCATGTGTAAGTGTCTGTGCTCTTAGGTGGAGACCGTTGGTGACAAGTACATGACGGTGAGTGGTTTACCAGAGCCCTGCATACACCACGCTAGGTCCATCTGCCACCTGGCTTTGGACATGATGGAAATCGCTGGCCAGGTTCAAGTAGATGGTGAATCTGTTCAGGTTAGTACGAAATAGACATGATAACGGTGGTGGTAGACCTTGTTAGACAACTGATTTATATCCTTGATCAGATAATCGTTAATGATGTACAAGGAAGAGCATCTTGCCAATGAAGACTGATGTTTTATTGAACCCACTGTATTGTGTTCTTCCATAGAAATGGAAAATCTTTCCGCCTATTTGAAATTATGTAGTTTATTTCATGTGCTGAAAGTCATGAGGATGAGATAAAACTTCCTATAGCTTCTGGTTTTTTTTTTAATTTCTTCTCTGTATCTCATATTAAGTTACCAGATTCTTATCTTTGAAAGCTTCAAACTTTACAGAAAGTCTTGAAAGACAGATTTCGTGAGGGTCTTTGATTCTGTCTGTAATATACGTGGAATTCTTGCAATTTTCATATGATGACATTGTTCCATAATATAAAGTAAGCAAAGAATTTGTGTCGCTGGCGTCACTGAAGCAAAGCTTTGGTCTCGACAGATAACAATCGGGATTCACACGGGGGAGGTGGTCACCGGCGTCATCGGGCAGAGGATGCCACGGTACTGTCTTTTCGGAAATACTGTCAACCTCACGAGCAGAACAGAAACCACTGGAGAAAAAGGAAAAATAAATGTGTCTGAATATACATACAGGTAAGAGAAACACATCCTCGGATTTACTGACTTGAAAAATGCCCTGTTGCCCATGGTTTGACCCCCTGAGGGGTTTTATTTCCTCTAACAATGATCACCTCTGCTCCTAGGATGACATTTCTTATTTGAGAAGATTGTGCCATTACTTCCATTTTAAATGGTTCTACATTGTCTTAGGAATCTCTGATATGATCATTGTTACTCAAAACTTGAGGTCCCTTCAGATAACTTCAGTGGGTGTCCTGACCGTCTCAGTTTATAACTTCGGTAGATGTCACTTCCCCATAAGCCACACTCCACCCACCTCTCCCTGCCCCTGTCCCCTGTCTTTCAGATGTCTTATGACACCAGAGAATTCAGACCCACAGTTCCACTTGGAGCACAGAGGCCCAGTGTCCATGAAGGGCAAAAAGGAGCCAATGCAAGTTTGGTTTCTTTCGAGAAAAAACACAGGACCAAAGGTATGACTAATCAGAGGGTAATTCCTTCTTTGAGGGCAGAGTATAAATATGGGTCGCTAAATCTTAATCACTGAAAATATGTTGCCTTTGAAAAGAGTTCTTGCTTCCACGAACCCTTAAGTGAAGCAGAAGCACTGATTCATTAATGAGCTGGTGAGAACAATGCAGAGTTCCCAGGGGATTCTTGGTGGTTGCCCGCTTTTGTCTGCTAATGAATTAGATAGAACCCAGAGCACTAGATGGAGAAGACCTGTTTTCTGTTCTGAAGACTCAGATCCTTCCAGGGGCCAAGTTGTCCCCCGGTGGAATGTTTGGGGGTCTTGGACATGCTAGTCCCTCGTGTGTTTTTCCTCGAGAGACAAGTGATGTGTACTGTTTCAGAGTCCACGTGATTTCCGTAGGGAAGCTCTCGGTTCGTGCTAGAGCTGACCCCGGCCAGAACACATGCGCTCGAGGGGCTGGGAACACTGGGGCTCCACCTGAAGTCCTGGGACCACAGTGGGTGGCTCCGGACCCTGAGGTCCTGCCCTGCCTGGTTCCCATCACCCTGGGTTGGGTCAGAAAGAAGTTTTATACTTTGTCCCCAGGTTGATGTATTGGTTCCGTAGAGGCAGTGGGGCTGCTTGATTTTCTCTCTTTTCCTGGATATATGCATTCCCTCAGAATGCTTTCAGGGTAGAAATCCTAAAAGGAATGGAATGCCAAGTTTTAAAATATTTACTTTATCTTCTTTTCGCTGTTTTCCCTTTAAATAGCAGTCCTGGCGTGCTTACTGGTGTCCTTCTAGGTTAAACCCCATCTCAAGTGCCGCTCTTTCACTTGGTGCCTGTTTCCTCCAGTGTCAGGGTGGGAATGACCTAGAAGAACCTTAGATAGGAATGCAGATCACACTTGTTTAGAAAGGAAATATTTTTGGGGAGTTCGAGGAGCTTTATCATCACTAGAAATTAATCGCGTGTTTCTTCCACTTTTTAAAGGAGACAGAGCAGGATGACGACTGAATCTTGGACCATGGGGCGAAGAGGACGGAGGTGGGGTTATCCCCAAACAACACACGCCAGTCCTAGGGACAGCCATCCCCTCTGTCCTTCTCAGTTTTCCCAAGCCTTTCCCCTGGATGTATCTTTCACTGTTCATTATTCAATTTTAGCTCTGCTTTTGAGCATTTTCAAGGTTTAGTATATTACGCCTTTAGATGTGGACGATGTGAGCTTCACTACAGGTATCACCTGCCGTGGTGATTTGCAAGTTGTAGGCACCCAATAGATAATCGATGAATTTAATGACGTGAAACTGAACAGTATTTGGCCATGAGTAGTTACACCGTGGTTTTTCCAAATCTGTTGAGTGCTGTCTCTAGATATGTATATGTAAATTTTAATGACAATAACATATAAAAAAGTTTTGTCATGTCAGTGTGTATCATTAGAGAAATCATTTTCTAAAAGAATGAATTCACAATTTTAGGGAAAAAAGTGGTTTATTTTCAGACTTCTCAAGTAAGAATGAATGTAACTGTGCTGAGAACATGGGGACTGTTTTGAATTGTGCAGACTTTGCTTCAGACAGAGACAGCACACTTCTCTGGGACTAAGCTGTTTGGTTACTCACTCAGATCACGTGGTGATTATCATCGCTCTAGAATGCTGTCATTTGCATCGTGTCCCTTGTATTATGACTCTCAGTAAACCACACACAGCTGTTACAGGGAGCGGCGCTATTTCACAATGAGCTGTTACGGCAGTTTGGGATACGCTTTAGGGCTCCAACCACAGCCAGGGATAGCTCTGGGAAGAATGCTGGGTTTCCCTGGCCTTTTATTTCCAGAAATGAGCTCTTTTCCCTTCGCTTATAGATTATGAATGTGATTATATCCAGGGCATCAGGTTCAGAAAAGTGACTTTAATTTTGACCTAGAATGCATTCCTGTTGGAATCATTGGCCCATTGTCCTTTCTCTCTCTGATAATTTATTCATAGCCATCCTTCTGAAATCAAGTACAGCTACTTTTGTGCAAAGATGTCTGTCTTGAATTTGAGTATCTCCCATCAGCACACTGACATGTGTGTACATGTTCCGTGTTCATGTGTAAGAGAACCTGCAATAAATTATTTTTTCCACTTGTCTCTGGATGGTTTTTAATTCAATACAAATGATATTCAAGTTCTCATTGAGCATTTGATCAGTGCCATTTTTGTAAGTCCATTTTATAATTTTAGCAAGTGTCAACTTTAATGTTGCTTCCCCGCTGCTGTTGATATAGTTGAACGCCGCCTCTTCACCCGGCATCTTCTGAAGCGTTTTTCTTTGGTACCAACAAAGTGACAGGAGGAGACTGGACCTGGAGTGGTGGACACGCGGATAAACGTAAAGTGACGCCAGCTCCTGAAAAGTGCCTAGTCTTTTAGGAGTGGAAGACCTGTATAGAGATAACTAAAGTGTCTGGTATGATGATAAAACATTCTCCAGACACAGAAAAAAGATGTAGAGAATGAGGACCAGGTGGGATGGGAAGGAGGCAGCAGGGGGACCCCTGGATTTTATGATGGGTTAGTTTAAAGGTGAATTAATGGAGGGGAAGCAGTCTAGAAGCCTGCACTCTGTGTCTGGGGAGTGTGCATCGCTCTAAATAAACTTGCTTTCCCTTTCCTGTGCCTGACTTTTGAGTTCGTTCCGACAAGAATCTACTCTCTGGCAACATTTCTGCCAATGGGGCAGGTTCAGTGGTGCCTAATGTGGATACATGGTGCTCACTGCCAGGAGAGGAGCCCAAAGGGCAGAGAAAGCTTTTCATGGTTAAATTTTTCGTGTCTTGCCATAAAATACGGGTTTTATCTCACAGGTAGGAGTTTATCAGGTTGAATTGATAGATGTACATGTTTTTTTAGATTTCACAGTAGAATAGCAATTTATACA